TTCACCTTGGTCACCACCCTAGCCCCTCCTCGTAGATCACACAGTGGCCCACATGCCATCTGGGTCGGGGGCAGCTTTCATAAGATATCTCAGGTCACAGTTGACTTGATGGTCTTCACACATAGCAGACAGCTAACAGACCACACCACTGAGGCTGGATTTGACACCTTAGGAAGGGTTAGGGTTGAGGAAGAGGTCTGGGGGCAGGAAAAGATGTAGGTTCTGAGACTGTGCCACCCAGCCAGGGGGCAGGAAGGCAGACAGAGCGAGGGTCTTAGCTTCTCCTTTCCTTTTTCTTCTTCCTCTGCTTGGGCCTGACAGCTTGACTGATGCAGTGACACAGAGAGTCTCACATTGTAACTTCTGTCAAACGATGGAAGTTAAATTCTGGAGGTGGGGAAGTAGGAGGTGGGGGTGAGGCAGGAATCTAGCATTCTGTCAGAGTGGTTGGTATCCATAGGGGTTTTAAAAAATATTTTATTATTTTTATTTTATGTGTGTAGTAAGTGTATTGCCTGCATGTATGTGAGTGTACCCGTGTCATGCAATGCTACCGAGGTCAGGAGAGAGCTTCACATTCCCCTAGAACTGGAGTTAAGGACGGTTTGTAGCCGCCATGTGGGTGCTGGGAATTGAACCTGGGTCCTCTGCAAGAGAGCAGTTGGTGCTCTTAACTGCTGAGCCATCTCTCCAGCCCTGGTGTCCATAGGGTTTAAAAAATATTTTATTTATTATTTTTATCATGTGTATGAGTGCATTGCCTGCATGTGTGTAAGTGTACCTATGTCATGCAGTACCCGAGGAGGTCAGAGGAGGGTGTCGGATCCCCTGGAGTTACAGACAGTAGTTAGCAGCCATGTGGGTGCTGGGAATTGAACCCAGGTCCTGTGCAAGAACAGCCAGTGCTCTTAACCGCTGAGTCATCTCTCCAGCCCCTCTACAGGGGTCTTTAAAGTGAAAAATGTATTTCAATTGTTTCGGGATACACTCCATTCTTTAGAGTTCTAGAACTTCTGAGGTAAGTGTTAGAGAATTCCAAGGATGTGATGAAGCTGAAGTGGGTGAAGGTAACACGTGTCCCTGGTGCTTGGCCAGATGTTGTCCCCATATGAGACATTGGTGGGGATGGGAGAGAATTAGTGGCCAGTCCTGTACACATAGGACATTTCTTGTTTGAGGACTTTCGTTTTGGGCATCCTTGGTCTGTCTTGACCCTGGCCAGGTGGTCCAGTCCAACTGGAGCAGACATGTGAACTTACTAAGGGGTAAACCCTGGTCTCTCGTATGTCTGGCTAATGCCCTGATGTAGAGGAAGATAAATTGGATTGAGCACTGTTGTCCCTGTTTTAGAGGTTTCCTTTATATCTTCATGAAGAAAAGGCAGACAGAAGCACGTATCTTTGGAAGCTATTAACAAAATAAAGCATGGAATGACTTTTAAAAGCAGAGCGACAAGGCCTGGGAGATGGTTCAGTGGGTAAAGTACTTGCTGTGCAAGCAAGAGGCCTGGGTTCAGATCCCAGCATGCTGTAAAAGCCAGGCACGGTACTGTGAGTCTGTGGGCCCTGAGGGCTTGCTGGCCAGCCATCCTAACCAAACCAAAACCAGGTTCAGTGGGAAGCCATGTCTCAAAAATAAGGGACATAGTAGAAGGCGTGCAAAATCAAGGTCTGCCCTCCACATGTACACACACTGGGGGGTGTATCTGCAACCACATGTACACATACCATCTCTCACACACACAGACACACCCATACACCACACACGCACTCACACATCCACACGTGTACACACACAGTAGAGCAGCTCTGAGGTTTGGGCTTTTTTCTTCTATGCCTGAGAGCTTTTTGACCCTTCAGATGAACCTCTTGGAGTTGCTGTCTGGGTGTTCATTTCAACGAGACTTCTGTCACTCGCCTGGCCAGGCTCTGTAGGGCACGTACTGTCGTTCCTCAGCGTCAACATCCACATAGCTTCTTGGGTCTTCCCTTCTTACTGGAATGGACCTGAAAATCGATGGGTACATTTAATGTCGCATTTCCCACTGAAAAGCTACTATTTTAACAAACAGATGGTAGCTTTCTATCACTAACGAGAGCCTGGATTACAGGAGAGGTGGCTGTTTCATTTTTCTGTTGTGTAACAAGGCCTACAGTTAATAGGAATCAGCTATTACTTCTCATTACACAGTGGGGAGGGGTCTTGTTTCTACTCTCTGATGTCTGGGGGCCTCTGAGACTCATTTGCAGGTTCGTGGATTCCCACGTTGAGTCCTGCTGGAGCTGTTGGCCCCCACAGGGTCAGTCCTTGTAAAGATAATGAGAGACTCAACTAAAAATATTCCTTTTTTTGGTTTAATGAACAAGAGGCATTCCAGGCTTATCATAAGCTTTATAAGGAAGTGACACATTCAGTATTTTCGGAGAGAGGCTACATTTGAGTTTCTGATCTTAGGAGCTTTGAGAAATCAGTTTGGGGACTTTATTTAACTTTTGGGCATGAGAAAGAGCTGCCTGTCATTATTGTCACACATACTCCCTCACACCAGAGCTGGCTGTGCTTGTCACTACTTGAGGTTTATATGAGTATGTTTTTATTTCCCCATTCCATAACATCTTGAGGTTTGAAATCTCATCAGACCAAAGTAGCGTCTGATGGTGCTACTTTTTTTTTTTTTCCATTTCACTCAGGGACTTATCTGTATCTGCCCCCAGATGCTCCTTATTCACCCATTGTAGAGAAGAGCTCTTATAATGCTTTGAGGTCCCTGATCTGAGATTACAGGAGCACTTTCTCAAGAGTCCCTCTAAGATAAATCGTTATTAGATCCAAGGCAGTCAGAAGTTCATGGTCTCCCCAGCCCTTCTCAAAGGATTGGAAGATTAAGGAAGTAGATTAAAACTCTGTGACAGAAAGCAAATTGTTCTTTCCGAAGGGCAAAGCTTTAATAAAATGATAAATTTTGATTTAAACAACTTAGAGATTAGAGGAGCCACATGTCAGGCCTATAGGCATTGGGGCTTCAGAAAATGATGCTTAAGCCAGACATCATGGTACATGCGTGTAATTGTAACACTGGGAGGCTGATACAGGAGTATTGTGAGTTTGAGGCCAGCCTGGGCTACAGAAAAAGACCTTGTCTCAAAACAGTAACAAAGCAAAAAGGTGTTTAAAATGATAATGATATTCATATAGAAACCTAAAACGAATGTTCCGTAATGAAGGAAGGTCTGTCTTGCTGAACTCTCCGGCAAGCATTCCCTAAGCATGAGAACACTGCAGGGCTTTTTGTGAGAGGAATGTGCTTCTCGTTGTTTGAAAGCACTGAAAGAGATTCAAATGACATTTTGCTTAACAGCTTGTGAGATTGGAGAGATTACCCCCAATTACGGATGAGGAAACCCAAATAGTTTTGTGATTTGCCAAGGCTACATGCTTAGTACCAAGCAGAGCGAGCTCCCTTAAAGACCTTTGTGTTGGGAAACTTTTGCCAGTATTTGAGTAACTACAGAAACTTTCATCAGCAACTACTGAGTGTAGAGAGCCAGTGAACATGAACAGAACTTTTCACGCAGAGGTGTTCTTGCCTGAGTCTGCCAGCTGGAAGATTAAAGAAAGGATCTCACTGCACCTTCTTCATCCCTTAGCCTTGCTTCTTCCCCACCTTACCTCTTAAAGGATGGCGCTCATACATGTTTCCCCTTAGAGGCTCCTGATGCTTGGGAGGCAATGGCTTGTACTGCATCTGACGGATGGCTTTTGACACATACCTACCTGGTAGAGGCTGGGTCTCTCTTATCACCACAGTGTACTTCACAGATGTGAATCACTGCATGTATCAAATAACTTGATTGTGTGTGACTGTCATGTAGAGTTACTGAATTGTGCTTGGATTCGCATCTTCTATCTCATTCATTAGGCAAAGAGGGACTCTTCTATTCTAAAAGGAATTTGTCACAGGCTTGTTACAGTGTAAAGACTACAGGAATTCACATGCTGATCATAGATCTTCCATTTTTGTGTATGTCTGTGTATTAAATCCTCATTAGCTGTAGTTGGGATGTGTTTGTGATATCCTCTTGAGCTAGCACTCCTGAAGTTTCTGCGTTAAATTGCATCATAAATGCCCAGAGTCAGAGTTTATTTGGAGGCTGGGTAGCTAGTGGTGATAGTTACACACCTGCCAGTGGAGAGAGTTCAGGCACATTTGGGACTTGGGACATGGGTGTTTCTTATGTTTCAGACTACTTTAAATTTATTCTTCTTATAAATAACATCTTTCTACTGCACAAAATTTAGAAAATCCATGCAGACCAAAAATAACACCTCAGAACTTATCACTGCGAAGATTTTAGTTTAAATCATCCCAATCTTTGTGTGTGTGTGTGTGTGTGTGTGTGTGTGTGTATGTTCATATATGTTTTCTTTATAAAATTAGTATATGCTGTAAATCTTTCTGTAAATTATATTTATAGATATATCTTCACGATGTCTATAAAGTTGTTTTTAAAAAGCATATGATTTTTACCCTTTAATTGTGTGTGTGTGTGTGTGTGTGTGTGTGTGTGTGTGTGTCGGCGTGTGACTGTGTATATGAGTGCAGGTGCCTGTGCAGACTAAAACGAGTTGAGTCGGGCAGGGCTGGAGTTACAGGTGTATGTGAGCCACCTGATGTGGGTGCTGGGAATTGACACAGGCCCTCTGCAAGAGCAGCAAGTTCTCCACACGTTGCGCTATTTCTCTAATCTCTACAGTCATTTTTGATGCCTAGAAGATTCTTGTCTGCTAACTTATATTTTTGGAAATGGAATCCCCCTCCCGCCCCCGCCTTCTCCTATAATCTTAGAGCACCTACCAGCTGGGAGAAATATGCTTGTTCGATTTGGGCATTGAGTTGGCTCCCTTCCCACAATGCAGTCAGCAGAGTGTGGTATGTGGCCATTGCCCTGTGTTGTGCTGATCCTAGCTATGGAATTGACTGCGACTTTTTCATCTTGCAGGAGACAGAGCACGTGGTGTCTAGCCAGTCGGAGTGCCAGGGCAGAGTGGGGACACCAGCTCATGAGAGTCCACAAAACAACATCGTTAGGTGCCAGGAAACAGTGCGACTTCAACCAAGGTGAGCCCTTTGTTCAAAAGTGACACTGAGCCTGGGGTTTGCTTCCCACATGTGCTAACCTGTGTGCCTGCCACCTGCATGTGAGTCAAGGCTTCCTGACTTTGTTCCTTACAATGATCAGTCAGAAGGGCCTCAAAGAAGAATCATTGTATTAAAGAGAAATACAAACAACCTTTCTCATCTCCCATTTGAACACCATCAGCCCTAATGCTCGGGGAGGATAGGGTGGTAGGTCTGCTTTTGGAGAGAAATTCTGACTTCATTTGTTCATCCCTTAGTCCCAAGGCAGAGAAGATTAGGGATTATCTATGATCTGTGATGTTCCCAGCCCACAACGGCTGTGTTTTTAGTCACATGCCAATTGCGTTTCACCTGTGCTCTCATTTGGTCATTCTCATTTGGTCGTTCTCTGTGTCCCGATTCATGGAGCAAGGCCGAGGAGCATCAAGGCACTTTCCTGATCATGCGCAAATAAAAAGAGCTGAGCTAGAATATGAGCTTACAGCGTGAGTGCGGCAGGACAGGTGGGCCATGCGTGGTGTTGAGTGGCCTCCGCCTGGAATCAACCCAGGGCTGGCCTCTGGCCCACTAGACCTGGAGACAGCCCTGAATCCAGGGCGAGGATGTGGGCAGAATGCTGCCTGCAAAAGGTTGGTAAGGCGTTCTGCTGGGAGCCTGGCATGACAACTGTCTGTGGAAGGTCACAGAAGAAGGGATTCAAGTGCGAGGTGTGGAGCTGTCTTTGTAGGATCCTGTGCTGGGTGTAAACACAGCCCTCACGTGGAGCAGGGAATGCTAGACTTCTGAGTGTGACCTTTAGAATTTGGTTTTCCAAGGTAGCACAGTCTAAGTCAACAGCTTCATAGAACATTGTACTGTGTAACCATGCTCTAAAATGCCCAACATATTAAACTTAGAATCACAGCTGCCCCAAGGGTGGGTGGGAACCCCAAGGTGGACATGAGAAAACTCTGGACTCTGTGTTGTAGTTTGAATGTACAACGTCCCCCACAACAGGTGTAGAGTTTGGTGTGACGTTCTGGAAGGCTGTGGACCCTTTTTGATGTGGGACATTGCTAGAGGAAGTGGTCACTGGGGGCAGGCCTTGAGGTTTTAGAGCCTGGCGCTACTTCCTGTCGTCTCTTTGCTTCCTGACTGTGGATGCAGTGTGGCCCGTAGTCTCCGGCTCCCGTTACCATGCGCTATGACAGGCTTTATTCCTTCTCAGGCTGTGAGCCCAAGTAAGCCCTCCTTCCTTACGTTGCTTCTTGTAGGAATTTGTCCTCAGCAGTAAGAAAAGTAACTACTATACTCAGGCCCAGTGCCATCCTCTGCCTGATCCTTGTTGACCTGAGGTGATGCCTGTTGGCTCCATGTTACCTCCTCACTGACAAGGACTCTGTCCCTCCTGTTTGAGACTGTGGAGTAACACAGGTCTTTCAGCTGCCTGGACTCTGCGAGGCAATGACAGCCCCCTCTCCCCGCAGCCCGATGACTGCTTCTCAGGAAGAGTAAGGTCAACTGGTTCCCACGCACATTTCCAAAACAGTAGGAAGGAAAAGAAAACAAACAGACTGCAAAGCTAAACCATCCACGCTTGTAGAACATACGGTGGTCCTTTGGGGGCGGACTTTTAGGAGAGGCTGATGGGGGGAAATGATATTAACGGTTAAGCTTCTCATGTTCAATAAACCTAAAACTGTTTTATGTCCTGTCTATGGTTTTGCTACTCACTGAGACTTTTACTGTGGTCAGAAAACGAATGCAATTCAGTGCTGATCATTTTCATGTGACTGGTTAAGCGGTGACAGGGTTAAGTCGGATTGCTCTAGGAGGGACCATAAAGAACGACAGTTCTTACATGATTGGGGCCGCGAGTTAAGCATTGCACAAACTCTCAGAGGTGATAGTTGAACCAAAAAGACACACACGGGAAATTCCTGGTCCATCTCTTCGTTCTGAGAAAAAAGCCAGGTACTGAGTGTCTAGTAAGCCTTTTTTCATTAAGCGAGGCTGTGTTCCTGTCTCCAGCAGGCTGTCTCCTCTCCTTCAGCAGCAGGCCCAAGCACCTGCTTCTCTTGTCCTCCTCCTGGCCTCCACGCCCCATGTTCATGTCTTTCGTGGGATCTGGCAGGATGCCAGAATGTTCTGTGCACCACTGTGAGCAGTCACAGTATCTCATGTTAACACACAGGTCAGGACAGTGTTGTACCAGTAATGACTAGTCCTATTGGAGTGTGAATTTGGATTAGGCTAGTGACCTTCAACTCAACTGGGATATTTATTACCATCCTGGTGGCATCGCCCAGGGACACTCTAATGGAATATTAAAAAAAAAAAAATCTTCAAATATGCCAGGGAATATGAAATGTGATGAATTAGTGAAATGAGATTGTAGCTAAACATGTCTTTGAGTCAGACAGCTCACATGTCTCCTCACAGTCCTCCCCTGTGCTCACACGTCTCCTCACAGTCCTCCTCTCTGCTCACATGTCTACTCACAGTCCTCCCCTGTGCTCATGTCTCCTCACAATCCTCCTCTGTGCTCACATGTGTCCCTCACATGTGTCCTCACAGTCCTCCCCTGTGCTCACATGTCTCCTCATAGTCCTCCCCTGTGCTCACATGTCTCCTCACAGTCCTCCCCTGTGCTCACATGTCTCCTCACAGTCCTCCCCTGTGCTCACATGTCTCCTCACAGTCCTCCCCTGTGCTCACATGTCTCCTCACAGTCCTCCCCTGTGCTCACATGTCTCCTCACAGTCCTCCCCTGTGCTCACATGTCTCCTCACAGTCCTCCCCTGTGCTCACATGTCTCCTCACAGTCCTCCCCTGTGCTCACATGTCTCCTCACAGTCCTCCCCTGTGCTCACATGTCTCCTCACAGTCCTCCCCTGTGCTCACATGTCTCCTCACAGTCCTCCCCTGTGCTCACATGTCTCCTCACAGTCCTCCCCTGTGCTCACATGTCTCCTCACAGTCCTCCCCTGTGCTCACATGTCTCCTCACAGTCCTCCCCTGTGCTCACATGTCTCCTCACAGTCCTCCCCTGTGCTCACATGTCTCCTCACAGTCCTCCCCTGTGCTCACATGTCTCCTCACAGTCCTCCCCTGTGCTCACATGTCTCCTCACAGTCCTCCCCTGTGCTCACATGTCTCCTCACAGTCCTCCCCTGTGCTCACATGTCTCCTCACAGTCCTCCCCTGTGCTCACATGTCTCCTCACAGTCCTCCCCTGTGCTCACATGTCTCCTCACAGTCCTCCCCTGTGCTCACATGTCTCCTCACAGTCCTCCCCTGTGCTCACATGTCTCCTCACAGTCCTCCCCTGTGCTCAATTTCTCCTCACAGTCCGCCCCTGTGCTCACACGTCTCCTCACAGTCCTCCTCTCTGCTCACATGTCTACTCACAGTCCTCCCCTGTGCTCATGTCTCCTCACAATCCTCCTCTGTGCTCACATGTCTCCTCACAGTCCTCCCCTGTGCTCACATGTCTCCTCACAATCCTCCCCTGTGCTCACGTGTCCTTTGTCTCCTCACAGTCCTCCCCTGTGCTCACATGTCTCCTCACAGTCCTCCCCTGTGCTCACATGTCTCCTCACAGTCCTCCCCTGTGCTCACATGTCTCCTCACAGTCCTCCCCTGTGCTCACATGTCTCCTCACAGTCCTCCCCTGTGCTCATGTCTCCTCATAGTCCTCCTC